ATAAATAATCATCATTAAGATCATATTATAATAATCATCGTTAAGATCATATAAGCATTGAAATTTTTATGCAACAAAAAAGTTATACTATTTCAATATAATTAATGCTATTTCAATAAAATTGGTTATTACTACCATGAAATTTCTGTGATGCTATTAACTGTTTTTGCTCTTTTTTAGAAAATTTAGAAAAATAAATTAAAATTTCGTGCCACTACTGACATGTCACATGTTATTGTATGTAAATATTAAGTTTTTGTTATGAGAATTACAGTTCTTATGAAAAAAAAAGGTAAAGAGTATTGTTTGTATATAAATATTTATATTTTGTTTACTTTAAATCTTTTAAAATTTTCTCATGCCATTTTTAAAATTTTTGTTTGCACAATTCAAGTTATATGTTTATTGTTTGCATTGCTTTTTTGATAACTATGTGTATATTGTAAAATATGTTTATAGCTTTTTTATCAATGTGTTTTTATAATAATGTAACATGTTTTTTTATTGTTTGTGTATGTGTTAATATAAGTTATATAATTGTTTTATGAATGTGTTTAAATATGTTTATATATGTTTTCAAAGTGCTGTGAATTGGTAAACGTGTAAAGCAAGATTTGTCAACCTTGCCAGCCAAGTCACCTACTGCAAAGGGTTACAAAGCAGTGTTTCGTGTCAAACTGTTACTGCTTTAGGTCTAGGTGTTTTCAAGCCTTTATTAATAAGTACTCTGAAAATACATAATGTATTTTAATAACATTTTGCATAATGTTGTTACTGATGTTCTGTTATATATGAATGTTATGTTTCTTAAGTTATGTTATATGCATATTATATGAACTTATGGTGAATGCTATTGTTGTTGTGATGTTGTTTTTTTGTAATCTTTCGAGTTGATATACATTTGGTTTACCTTCAAGATGTTGTCTGCTGTTAAAAATGATACATAGTTAATTTCATTATTAGACCTCACTGCATTTAATCATTCACTAAAATTAATATTTAGATTCACTAAAAGCCTACTACTACTACTACTCTGGTAAATCACATCAGCTTTATCAGGTAAAATGATTTCTTTTTTTTGTATGTAATTTTTTTCTTATTTACTTATTTGTTAAATTTTTTATTTATCAAATGATGTATTTATATGGTATAGAAGAACAAAATATTGTTAAGTTTTGTGAATTTTTTAAAAATTTTTACTAATATTTTTTTCAAATAAATAATATTGAAGTTTGCTTAAAAGGGTTTTACTACGTTTTTTTTTATTTTTTCTATATTAGGAGTTTTTATTTTATTATTTTTAATGCAAATATCTATTTTTTATTATATTATTATTTTTTCTTTAGATCCAAATTGGAGCAGCTACAGACTATATTGCTCCCAGCACCCAGGACCACTCTCTGAGAGGTCCTTTAACAAATGTTGCAGTAATAATGGTATGGATAAGCCCTCTTTCAAATGGAGGGCTCATCCATACAGGGGTGCTGGGAGGCACCAAGTAAAAAATAGCAACAAAAAAATTTTTAATATATTCAATCAGTGAAGATATTGACAATTTTTTTGTTGCTGTTTTTTCCTTGGTTTTTATTTTCATTAAAAAATATATATATATTCTAAATTATGTTTGTTTTTATTTTTTTAGTATTTGTTTAGATTATTATTTACTGTTTTTATTACTTTAATTTTTGACTCACAATATAACATGGCTATTATATTGCTTCGAATATATACCATATCAGTTAATCAGTTTTGAAAAAATGTACTGCAGCAATTTATTAACTATAACAAAAATCACATTTAAATTTGTAATATTTTTAAGTTATAATTTTAAACTAATTTGTTGATTTCCAGCAGATTTTATTTCTTTTGATTGTTTTGAATTTAATAATTTAGTGTTTATAGCTGCCTTTAACTTATGTAAAGCTTTAATAAATTTAATCTTCTGATTTTAATGTGTAATAAATAATATAAAATATTGGAAAAAAGATTAAGTAATAAAAAAGCAGATAATTAATCTTTGATAAACTTTGTCATGTTGCTTATTATATTATTGGTATTTCAGTGATGCTGTTAAATTTTTTTCTTTTCTTTAGAATTTAGAAAAATGAATTAAACTACAACTTTTGAACAGTCATTGTTTTTGAAGGTTAAATTATTTGCATGTTTTTTATACAATTTTTTTATAGAAATAGTATTAAAGTTTACTAAAAGGGGTTTACAAATACTTTACTTTTTATTTTTTTGTCTTTTATTATTATTATTTTTTTATTACTATTGGTTAATTTTTTTATTTACATTATATTTATAAGTTTATTTTTTGTTTAAACATCTTTTAACGGATATATTTATAAAAATGTTTTTATAAAAAACTCACAATATTGTTGTATAATTTGGTTTATTTTAAATAAAAATTTCCTATGTTATGTTTTAAAAATTATTCTTTGTGTGTGTGCAATGTAGAGAAGTAAAAAAAAAAAATCACAATCTACAAGTTTCTTTAAAAATTTTTTTGTTACTACTATCAATTAAAAGTGAAGTTTAAATGGATGATATAAGGCTAGAAGTGGCTATTAGTTTAGAAAATGATGGAAATGTTAATAAGCAAGTTGAAAATAATCGTCGCAGAAATACAAGAAATAGGCTGAGGCGGGATGAAATTAATAATCAACAGAATGCTAGATATGCTGCATGGCAAGCCGCGAATAATTTAAATCAAAATGAGGACAGTGTGATTAGGCAAGTTGAGAATAGTCGTCACAGAAATGCAAGAAATAGGCTGAGGCGGGATGAAATTAATAACCAACCAAATGCTAGATATCCTGCTCGGCAAGCAGCAAATACTTTGAACTGAAATAAGGAGAAAAAAGGGCAAGATAGATGTCACTATAATCTCCCTTCACATAATGAAGTTGCATTTGTATTTTTTGGTGAAGATGGTGCTCCACCTACTTCCAGTGAAGTTGTTATTTTCCCAAGAGGTCATCCTCTTAAAATATATCAAGTATGTCTGCCAAATTAGAGCCTATGGTTTGTTCTCTATTTTTTCTAAGATGATGCTGGCTTGCATAATCAATTGGTTTACAACCCTGAACGTGCTACATTGATTAGAAATCATGTTACATTATCTCAGTATTATAGTTATAGACTTTTAGTTGGACAATTAACCTAAACAAAAAAAATAGGTGAAGTGATTTTTAGTAACTTCAGATCACTTTGTTGTTATTTTTTTATTACTATTAGAAGGGTTAATAATAAAAGTTTTTAGGCAGTAGAACTGGTACTGATTTTAGTAAGTTTGCTATATTTTTTTATTTAATATTTTCATTAGATTTAACAGGTTTAATAGTTTTTTTTTAATTACTTTGGAGTAAAATATATTGAGTGATATTGCTTCATTTTTTACACTTTTAGATTATGTCTAGATTCTTTGTTAAATTACAATTTATTGATGTAAATAAATTTTTATTTTTATTTTTGATAGACAACTTTTATCGAAAAATAAAAATAAAAATTTATTTACATCAATAAGGAGGCGTGAACTTTCTATTAAATGCTTATCCACAGTGCTCTGTGATAAGACCTTGAGGACCTCTTGGAGCACCTAAAATAAAATTAAAAAAAAAGTTGTTGAAATATAAGAAATGCTGCTCAACAAGCAGAAAACTTACTTGCCAGAATTCAGTGTCAAGCTGTGTTAATGTGTGTTTATTTGATTTTATTTTAAACACTTTAAAACAATTTAAATCAAATAGTTTTAAATTTAAATGATTTTAAATTTTTTTATAAATTCAAACGTAATTATGTTCTTTTTTTTTTAGTTGCCTTTGTTATCACTTGATTAGTTTGCTTACTGTTGAAACATGGTTTTAATTTTGTAAATTTAATGATATGAAATTTACTCTATTAATTATTAGTTGACAGTTAAAGAGAAGCTGGAATTTTACATAATAAAGGTAAAAATAATTTTGTTTACTTTTAGATAAGAGTTAAAAGAGAATTAGTGCATGGAGCATCAATAAAACTTATATAACTACTTTTTAGTTTAAAAAAAAGTAATTATATAAGTTTTATTAATGCCACAATTGATGATAACCATGTATATAAAAAATTTTATGAGCTGCTTGGTATTTTATGATAAAATTGTTCAATATTGTAATCAATAAAATCTTTTTAGCCCAAGTATTTTAGTTGATAAAAAATCTTAATTTGTGGTGTTATACGGTATTACGTTATTTACTACGTTAAGTTGTCTAGCCTTTATATAATCTTTTCTTTTTTAACCATTTTGGAGAGACATAGTAATGCATGCTTACAAATATCTTATGCTATGCGCTATTGTTAATGTGTTTTGTGTTGATAGAATTGGGGTATTACAGCAATTTTTTTAAGTCTTTATATCTTCATTCTACCAACAATAAAATGCAAATAATACTTTGTAATTATTTTTTGTTCCTTTTTTTAGGCATTGGAAGGCTTTACTTGACTTTCTTTTTATGATACCTGCTGTGTTGTAACAGATTTTAAAAAGAACTTAACTGATGTTAACGTAGTTTTTACGTAGGATAAATAATTGAAAAAAAAATGGTAAAAAAAAAAGGCCATTTTTTATAAAATTTGAACAAATGAACAAAAAGTTTTGTTGCAATTAAAAATAAAACACTTTAATTTTTTTTGGCAAGCACTTATTTATGCGGTTGCCAAAACTTTTGCGGGCGTGTGGGCGAGTGCAAAAAGACTTGAGCACTGGCTAAATGGAGATATGGTAACTACATAATTAAATATTGATGACTTAGACATTTTATATAAAGTTGTAAAAGATTTGAGTATAAAATTTTAATAGAATTATACACAAATAACATAATAGTTAACAATAAAATATATATTATAAGTTTTTTTATATATTTATTAAAAAATTTTATGAATATACTTTAAAAATATATTTATTACAATATTTTACTAAAAACCTGCATAACAATAACTTCAATTAAAAAAAACTTTACCTTCATACTTCTCTACAGATATTTTGTTTACAAATTTACCAAACTGCTTTTCCTGAGGTTGAAGAGTTGATTTTGTTTTGTTAATTACATTTTCCTTATTTACAGTGTGATCTCTTCTATATGAATAATATTCATCGTCATCATCATCGTCATCATCATCATCATAATCATCATTTGATCCATAACCTTGTATATTGTTATCATAATGAACTGACAGAGACTTAATGTCTTTAGCTATAGCAAAAAAAGAAATGAAAATAAATTAACACCAAAAAATCTAAAATAACTAAAAAAAAATTTTGTTTTTAATTTTCTAGTGAAATAAATATAAAAAAATAATTTAAATTTAAATTGACTAAAATGTTCTATGATTGAAAACCATAGAACTAAATATTAGTCAATTAAAAAGTCTTCTGTCAACTGTTCAAGATCATCAGAAATTTAACAGATGATCCTCTTGATGAAACTGGTAGTGGAAGAAAAACTGTTTTTTTTTCACTAGTTTATATATATCAGGTCTCATTTTAAAGTGTTACGCGTAGAGCGATATATGTACGCCGTGAGAGATTTTACGTGAGCAATAAGCAATTATGGTTAAGCGAGTTTTTATCATTTTTTGACTTTTAAATTATTCTATAAGCAGTAAGATAAAAGAAGAATTTAATTTTTAAAAAAGCCACACTAACTCTTGAATGACATTTATGTAAAAATATTTGTTACAAAAGTTTGAATGACAATTATGTTAGATATAAACGCTATTTACTAATGAAAAAAACTCAAATAAAATAAAGAATTTACTTTTATTTTGTTTTTATTTTATTATAATGATTGATTTTTTCGCTTGAAAAGTACTAATAAATAAGCTTGAAGCAAAGATCATAATAACATAATTTAATTCTGATAAAAATATAATTTTTGGTGATAAAAATATATAACTTTTGATGATAAAAATGATTTAATTTAAAACTAATTTAACAAAAATATATAATTTTTTAAGATATATCGCAAAGATTATATTTTAATAAACCATATATACAGCCATACAATTTTAATAAATGATGTAAGGAAAAATAATTTTTGCTTTCAGAACAAAATTCTTGACAAAATAATAAACTTTTAAAAAATAAAGTAAATAAATAAACATATTCTTTTAATTTGTTACACGCTAATTTTTTAAAATAAAAAATTATTTTTAGTTGCATAGCCATAATTAGAAATTTAAAAAATAATCATTTAAAAATTCAAAAATTTAACATATTTAAATTCATATATGCAAATGTAGAGAAATGAAAGATTTGTTAATTTCAAACATTTTTTAAAATGTAATATTAAATTTAATTATTTAATATTAAAAAGTAAATAAAATAAAATAAACATTCCCTATAGTAATAATAAAAAAGATGTTAAAAAACATTTAACTCATTTTGCAGTAATTAATATTATTGCAGTAATTTTTAAAAACCAAAACAAAAAAAGAGAATTTTATGACGTCAAACTCACATTAGGCTATTGGGTTAAACATTTTTTATATAAAACAATGTGTATATATATGAAGATCACACAGGTAAAACCACAAATGTCCAGGTTTTGAAAATTTCAAGTTTAAGGTATTTTTATGATATACTAATACTAATCTATTTTAATTTGAAATATGTTATAAGATTCTATGGTCATTTCAAAAAAAGAGCAGCTTGGAAACAACCACTGTTGTCCAATGTTTACTTTGTACAAAACACAGTTGCCCCAAATAATTAAAGATAAACCAATGGTAAAATAAATCTTAAGTCACATGACCAACTTATATTTAAAAAAAAATGGCATATCAAAACAACCCTACAGTCACAGTGAAACCTAAAAAAGAAAGAAGTTCAAGGGAGGAAAAGAGAGTTTGCTTGAGATTTAAGATTAATAAATCATGTTACAGGAATACTATGTAGTTATGTTAATCTAAAGTAGTTACAACAGAAGATGATAGAACAAAGTTAATATCATATTTCAATAACTTGAAAGCAAAGGATGAGCAGGATTTGTATATTTCTTCTTTTATTTCTGCTCATAGCATTAAGCGTCGATGAAGCAGAAAAATATTTATTGAACAATTTCAATTTTATAGTTATTCATAAAAATACCACTTAAACATTGTGTATATATATATATATATATATATATATATATATATATATATATATATATATATATATATATATATATATATATATATATATATATATATATATATATATATATATTGTAATTTGGATATCCTAAATAAGATGCTTGCTAATTTTGTGACCAAACAAAGTAGAAAAATAGACTCAATAAATTGTTTGATGCTGCTAAAAGTAGGTTACAACATAAGAATGTTTTGAATGCATCACTCCTAAATTTACAATGGAAAAATCACAGATGTCCAAAGGGAGTGTCTTGTCTTCAAATGTAAAACTTTATTTTTTTGGTTTTAGAAAAAATGTTATAAAAAAATTAATTCAGATTAAATACAATATCAATAAACATATATCAAATGTCTCTGAACACTAAATTTCATTTTTCTCAAAATGAGAAAAATGTAATATCTGTGATTTTACCCATGTAGTTTTCATAAATCAAATATAACAAATGTTTACATCAATCTTTATTGTGTCAATATACATAACACTAGAACCAATTTAAAATGTAATGAAGAAAAAAAAATTATCTGAGAAGTTTTTATACATGACTGCTCCAATCGTGTTAACCTTGAAACAAAATGAAAAGTTTTTTGAAAAATTTCAGTATTAATTGTCCTATTTAAATTGAAATTAAAAAATGAATTAAGATGCTGCTTAAAATTCATCTTATTCATTAAAAATGAATTAAGAAATTTAGTAGCTTAAATAATTAATTTTTAATTATTTCCCAAGAAAAACAAAAAATTGGCATTTTTTCCCCAAAAAAACGACCAAAAAAACAAGAACCAAAAAAACGTGCCATATTTCTAACCTCTCATATGAGTATTTTTCCCCATTTAATTTATTTTCCTGATATATACACTTTATACAGAACCTATTTTAACCTTAAATAATCTTTTCGATTCAAATGTGCCATTCTAATTTAGGCATGCTGAAGGTCCTTATTCTATCCAGTAGGAAAAATCATTCTCTGACAAACATTCTAAAAGCCAACATGTTTCTCTGTACACTGACATTTTTTGTTATTGGCATTGTATCTTTAACTATAGCGTCACTTAAAGACTAAGGTTGTTAAGGTGTTGCACTGGTTGCAGTCTTATTTTTTTTTCCTGGTAGTTCTAACTCTACTACTGCAAAGTTACTGTACTGCTAAGTACTGTTTCTAACTCTAGTACCACTAAATCTTTGTAAGACACACAAGAAGTGAAGCTGGGTATTGCAACATTGTTTTAATAGACTCAGATAAATCTGTTAATGTTGCTTTTTAGCTTTCATTAAGTATTTTTTAACTTTAGTCAACTGTTTGTGTCTTCTAGAAGTTGTTTCTTTTTTGATGTCGCTCTCATAAGTTCATTTCATTATCGATTAATTGCTGAAAAAGTAAAGACTATACGCATTTGAAGTTTTATTGTAACAAACATCAGTATTTATTAGTTATTTATAAATATCACGACACTTATTAAAAATTTAAAATATATTAATAACTGATAATTTACAGTGTAATATTGTATATTAATAATATTGATAACTATAACAACTTTTGATAACTATAACAACTTTTGTATATTATTAATATTGATAACTTATAACAACTATTAAACAACTATTAAATTATTAAACTATTAAACAACAATTAAAACTATTAAACAACAATTAAAACTAACAACTAATAACAACTTATTTCCCTGAAAAATAACCATGTTTGTGTTTCAGAGTTATAGAGATGAGAGAGGGCTGTTACCATAACTAAAGCAGCCTCCACAACTGTAGTGGTCTCCTCGATGTTGGGGAGGTAAATTAATATAAAAAAAAAATAATAATAGTATGCACACATAATTCCTTATGTTATGCACAATGTTTTCCTTTACATAAATAAGAACTCCTCCACCTCCATTATTCAGTAGTCTCTCTAATGAGAGACAAAGTTTATAATATTTTGTGTAAGTTGTTATAAGTTTTTCAAAATTTAAAGCATTTAATACTTTTGGAATGCATTGGAATTCTGTATAAAGTTGAAAATGCATTAAATAAACACAAATTAATACAACTACATTATTAATTTATTTATTGCCATATAAATTATGCAAATATAATATAGGGAAGCACTGAAAAAACCAAATTTCAATATTTCTATCAGCATGAGAAACACGCAGCTCACACAATTAATTTTGCAAATCAGTTTTCAAACACAACACCACTTTTTAGAGAAATTAAAGTCTTGAATATTGATAAAGTAAATGTTTTTATAATCTTAAGCTTATTGTTTATATGTAAATAATATATCACATAGTGATATATTTTCTTTACATTTAATTTAAACCCCAAAAACATATATGATCTTCATTTTGGTAAAAATATCCATAAACCATTTTACCAAAGTAAAAATAACCAATATTGTATTTCGTATTGTGGACCTTTTTTTCTAATAAAATAGTTTTAACTAATTTTAATTTTTTTTTTCAAATGGAGTGTTTTAACTGTTATAATTTATAATTTATTTTGTTTATTATAAGATTACTAAGAATATTGTATTTGGATTGTAATACAGATTGTAAAGAACTTCATGATAAGATCATATGATCTTATAGAAGTCCTATCAATGTCAATTTACCTTGTATATATCATTCTAGCAAAAATAAGGTCACATAGAAATTAAAAGATATGCTCTCATAAATGAAACTCATAAAACTATAATATATATCGAAATATTAAAAATGATTCAATTTTATAAAATGTGGAACTTAAACTCTATTAACTCACCCAATGAAAAAGTTTGTTTTGTTGTTTGAGAGATATTCTCTTCAGCATCAGAAAATTGATTCTCTATTACTTCCATATTGAAATGCTGTATTTTCTTAACAAAAATGCTGTCTTTTCTTTAAAAAAACAAAAACATTTTTATTTAAAACTATTGCAGCTTTGATATGTCTAAAGAGTATTAGAAGCTTTTATGTGCTGATTTGCATGCCTTTTAAAACAAAAGTGAAAAAGAAAATAAACTGAGAAAAAACAACAATAAGAAAGGGAAAAAGTAGTTTTTTCTAAAAAAATTTGATAGAACTAATATCTAACATGATAAAGCTGTAGTTTGTATGTGTGTTATATCAATATATATATATATATATATATATATATATATATATATATATATATATATATATATATATATATATATATATATATATATATATATATATATAAATATATATATATATATATATATATATATATATATATATATTATATCACACACACACACACACACACACACACACACACACACACACACACACACACACACACACACACACACACACACACACTACATATTATATCAATATACTATGAGTAAATTATTATTAATTAACAAGGTGTCAAGTGAGTCTCAAATGTGTTAAAATTATAAATATGATAAAATATTTTTTATACAAAATCAATATTACAGATTCTATAAAACAAAAACTGTCGTTTTTTAAAAAAAGAAATATTTAATTTGTCAAGGTAATTTGATAAATTTTTTTTCAAGATGTACATATGTTTTATATGCAATTATTTTAAAATGGGATTATAAAATTTTTTTTTATAGAAAGAAAATTTTGTAAACGTACAAAAGAAAAAGTTAAAATGTACAAAAGCTTATTATTAAAAATATTAAAAGTTATTTTATATAATATATAATTTTGTATAAAATATAAGTAGTTAGCATATTTTACTATGGATAGCTATATTACAAAACGTGTGTTGTTATGAAATATAGACGGCAGCCGACTGTCGATAATGTTAACTCTAAATTTAAAGATTTATAGAGCTTTCCCTTTGAGTATATAAAATTTGAACACTTTGGCCTTAGCCTTCCACTTTTTCCAAACAATTACAGAACTTTTTTTTGTGTTTGCATTTTAAAAAATGTACTACAGTTGATTTTGTTTACAAGAGTTTTTTTTTTTTTTCTTGAAAGCTTTAGAACTTAATTTTATGTCACGGTTTAAATAGCTAGCCATTTTAAAACAATAATTAATGACATGATTGGTTAACGGGAATTTGATACATCAATATTTTTATTAAGCCACGTGATTTGTTTTAACACTATTTATTAATTAAAACATTTTAAATTTTAAAAAAGATTTAAACACTTGAATTTTTTCTTAAAATTAAAAACAGAATTTTAAGGTTTTTTGAATTTAAATAGTTTTTTTTATATTTAATTTATAATTTATTATTAAATTTATTTATTTATTTTTATTCAACTTATCTAAATCAGTTCAAAGAAGTTGTAAGTAATTTATTTCTAATGGTTTTTTTAATAATTTTATTTATCAAATCCATCTTTGAACCAATTTGTTTGGTTTTCAATTTCAAGTTTGGTCACTTAAGTATCAAATGTTTGCTCAAGGACAACACCAGAATCCATATTGAAATCTACTAAAAATAGTGTTACACCTCAAATTGTTTTGACAAACGAATAAATCACTAGAAACTGTACACAATGAATTATTTTCAAATATATTTTCTTTATGACTTCGTTGGATTCTGCGCATGACCTTAGTAAAATTTCACAACAAGTGATTTTATTGTTGCAGCACTTGCTACCTGCAGTTTTGTTAAAAATTGGTCTTAACGAAGACCAAAATTTAAGTCTTTGACAGAATCTTTTGGCCTTGTTCTTGAAACATGTGGCCTTGGTGTTGGTTTTGGCCTTGCTAGTTTTGGCCTTGTTAACAACTCTGGTCCACACTATTGTTTTTTTGGGGGGAGGGGGGAGCTGGGCCGTCCCGAAGAGATTTTAAAAGGAGGTTACCTTTCTATTTTTTACCAACTAAAGCCGATAATTTTTTTAACATAAAAAAAATATTGTTAACAACAAATATTTTTCTACACAGTGGACACACGTCAGAAAGTGCATAAGATGTTCGATGGACATCCACCGGACGACGCATGCCCACTGGGTATACCCAGTTCTTATAAGAACAACAACAACAAAAATACTTAAAGAAATAAGATACTTTTCCAGTATTCAATAATACAATCAAATATTTTGAATTACATTTAGGAAACACTTATAAAAGAGTGATGAGATCAAAAGAACTCGAATTACCTATTAATTATCAAATAAATTAACATAATCTATTATTGAAGAAATTAACATCTAATTAAGAATATAACTTTTTTTATTTTATAAAGTAGAAAAATCTTAACTTGGAAAAATGGGAAAAATCGATTTCAATGTTATTTGACACTTTATTTGATTTGAACCATTTTGAAATTTTAGTTAGCTCCATGTTTTTGTCATCAAATAGTGTTATGTTGTTATTATTAGACAGAAAAAATTTTGTGTCACCATCAAACATTATTTCTATTAAATTTAAGTCATTATAAAGATCATTAATTTAAATAAGAAAAAGAACTGGATCCTAGTTTAGGACACAAAATGTTATATTAAGTAAACTTGTAGAGGATGATACATCAATTTACACAAACTGATTATTAACTTAAAATAACTTAAATAGATTTTTTATTAATTTTAGAATATTAGTACTGATTCCATATTTTTTAAGTTTTTTTTTTTAATTAGAATCTCAAAATTTATTGTATCAAAGGGTTTTGATAGATCAATTAAAACTACAAAAGTAAATTGCGATTTCTCAAACAAATCTGCAATATTTCAAGTCAGATAAGTACTGCGTATTTAGTGGTATTATTTTTTTAAATCCACACTAGTAGCAAACAATATTGGCGCAATATTGTTTACAGGATGTAAATTATGTAAACAATATTGCGCCAATATTACTACTCGGGCATATTGGCAAATTAGATATGCAATATAAACTGGTTTCCATTTACAGCTCCTCGCTTTAAAACAATTTAACATGTTCTTGATTGGATGTGGTCGTGTAAAAAAAACATCAATTTATTTCTGATAGATTACAACCAAGGCGTACTTAAATAACAGGCCTTCTCATCGCGCAACGGCTTAAAAAATGTGGAGGCTGATTTAGTTAGCGGCAAAAGTTACTACGAATAACTTGTATCCCTACCAGAAGACTTAAAAATGCCCAGAAAATGTTGTGTTACTGGTTGTAACTCTAACTATGACTCAGTAAAAGATAAACTACTTTCAGATTACCGAGAGATCCAGTAGAGCGTCTAAGATGGATTAAAGCATTCCCAAGAGAAAATATACCAGACAAACATGACACTGTAGTTTGTGCAAAACATTTTCCACCAAACTTCCAAGTTATTAAAGTAAAAGGAAGAGAAAGACCTCGAGATCTACCTAGTGTATTCGAACAAATACCCAAGAGTTTAGTGCCAACTCCTCCACCAGAAAAAAGAACAACAACAATATCCAAAAGCTCTGTAAGATCAATAAAAGAAGATGAACTTTCAAAATTCGAAGAGCTTTACAAAATTGATTCATTCGAAAATTTTTGTAATTCGTTATCTCTAGAAAAACTTAATGATTCAGTTGTTTATTATAATTGTTTAAATAGCTGTTGTATTCAATCAAAAGAGCATGAAGACAATACTGGTATTAATAAATTTTGTTTAATAGTATTTAATGACTTATCATATGAAGCCTATCATGCTGGAGTAAGATGCACTATTGCTTCCTTAGTTAAAAATCGTATTCATAAGTTCAAATGTTGGTCGCAAGTTCATGAGGCATTACGATATTTGATTTCCTTTGAAAAGTCAGAAAAGAAAACAGTTTTAATTCAGCAATTTGAATGCATGAGTAACATGAACTCAAGTAATATTCTTAAGCAAAAATATTCGCCTGAAGTAATTGTTCGAGCTTTTGAGTATTTTGCACAGTCACGTAGTTTATACAATCAATTAAGAAATGATTTTCAACTTCCTAGTATTGCTACCCTTACACGTTTAACTTCAAAAGTTTCACACTTTGATGATAATACTTTTATTTGTAGTGTTTTTTCAAAACTCAACAATGGTCAAAAACAATGTATACTATTATTAGATGAAGTTTATGTTAAACCTATGCTAACTTATCATGGAGGACAGTTGTTTGGTAAAGCAGTAAATGATGAATCAAATCTTGCAAAAACTGTATTAGCTTTCATGGTTGTATGTTTTTATGGAGGACCAAAATTTTTAGTTAAAATGTTACCAGTAAATAATTTAGATGCAGATTTTTTATATGATCAAACTATTATCTTAATCAACCAAATTACGAAGGCAAATGTAAAAATTATTGCTTTAATTAATGATAATAATAGAGTAAATCAAGCATTTTTCAAACGATTTGATTGCATATTTCCATGGTTAACAACTGATGGCATTTTTTTACTCTTTGATTTTGTGCATTTAATAAAGTGTATACGAAACAATTGGATAACTGAAAAGTCTGGTGAAATTGAGTTTAGTTATAGAGGAAAAAAATATAATGCTAAATGGGATCACATCAAAAAGCTTCAAAAGTTAGAAGAAGGTGAATTGGTTAAAATGTCTAAGTTGACTTATGTTGCTGTTAACCCAAGGCCAATTGAGAGACAAAAAGTTGATACATGTTTAAAAGTTTTTTGTGAAGAGACTATAAATGCATTAAAGTGTCATCAAGGTATGAAAGATGATGATATTGATGGAACTGTTATTTTTTTAACTAAGGTGGTTCAATTTTGGAAAATAGTCAGCGTTAAAAGTCCATCCGAAGAAATCCATTTGAAAGACAACTTACGAGCTCCCATATCATATGTTGATGATTTACGATTAAATGATTTAATTGAGTTTTCTGAAATGTTAAAGCCAACATTGATTCAAGGAAAAAGAATTAGAAGTATAACCATGGATACAAGCAATGCATTATATCAAACTTGTAATGGTTTAGTTGAACTAAGTAAGCATTTGTTAGACAATTCTCAAATGTATGTACTGCTTGGGAATTTTACAACAGACCCCATAGAA